TGGCCTAATTCCTGCTCTATTGATGAACTAATTACCTTAGGATTTGGAATGTATGGGAAAGGATGCTGGCTGATTTTCCCCATTCTGTAGTTTGGACCTCCTGGTAGTGCAGCGGGTTAAACCGCTGAGCTGCCTTACTTTATGACTGAAAGGTTGGCTGTTCAAATCCAGGGAGTGGGGTGAGCTATTGCTGTTAGCCCCAGGTTCTGCCAACATTTGCCAACATGCAAATGTGAATAGATCAGTAGGTATCTCCTTGGCGGGAAGTTAACAGCGCTCCATGCAGTCATGCTGGCCACATGACTTTGGAGGTGTCTACGAACAATGCCAACTCTTCGACTTAGAAATGGAGATGAGCACCAGCCCCCAGAGTCAGACATGACTAGATGTAATGTAAGGGGAAACCTTTACCTTGTACTTTTACCTATAGCACTGGTTCTCAACCTGCGGGTCCCCAGGTGTTTTGGCCTACAACTTCCAGAAATCCCAGCCATTTATCAGCTGTTAGGATTCCTGGGAGTTGAAGGCCAAAACGTTTGGAGACCCACAGATTGAGAACCACTGACCTATAGTTTGCTGCAGAAACAGGAAGTAGGAACTCTTCCACCCACTCCTTTCTTGCATTTGTCCACTGCATTCCCCACCACCAGGTCTATTTCCATCTGCAAAGAAATTCCTCTCAAATTTTGAGTAGCCGTGAAAGTATAGCGGGCCTTCCACAATTGATTATGTGCGTCTCATAAAATGCTGTCTCTAGAAATTTCTAGGTCCTCCAACATGTCTCTGTGGTAAACTTAAATCAGACCACCTCTCTAGAAATCTCTAGGCCCTCTAGGAAAATTTTGTGGTCAGTTTCCAGCATAAGTAAGCATGTCAGGGACCTAGTTGGGATAGGGATGACTCATTCATTGGGCTTTCTGAGGCAAACCTTCTTGTATGTTTTTGTTCTGTCTTTATCTTCCAGAATGCCATGAGAGCCACTGTTGAAAGCCATGAGTCCAGTCCCAGATTGCCACCCATCAAAGTAATGGTGGCATTGGGGAATGAAGATCTCTCTATCAGGGTGAGTAGAATTGTGAGTGTCGGAGAGGTACACCACTGCTGATGGACAGCTTCTAAGACCCCTTTCTTTTCTTTCTTCTTCTTACAATTATTTCTCTTTAAAATGGACTTGGATCAGACAACCCTTCGGGCAGTACAGTACAACCTCCATATTATCAAGAAATATATTCCTGGACTTATTATTGCTTCAGAAGGAAGTATGAGATAAAATTGTGCTGAATGGGGAATCTAGAAAATGCCTAGAGAGAATACCTCTCCAGCATGATTGTGTGGTCAACCTTCAGCAGAAGCATAGATAGAATTATGCTAATTGGTGTAGAGGGAACAATTTTTTTGGATGTGGGTAGGTGAAATTGCAGGTACCAGTCACGTAGATATGGGAGTCCTCTGTCTTGAAATAGAGGACTGTCTTATGTAAATAGGCCATTGGGCCATCCTGCTCATCTATACTGAAGGCATTTTAATTTTTCCTCCCTTGTCGGGGCAGATGAGCGACCGAGGAGGTGGAGTTCCTCTCCGGAAGATTGAACGACTCTTCAGCTACATGTATTCTACAGCACCCAAACCAGAACTGGGCACCGGTGGGACGCCCTTGGTAGGTGTTAAGTAGACCAGAAAATTGAGGAGATCAGTGTGTCTCAGATCACAACTACATAAGGAGAGATGGGAAACCATGGCTAAGGACTCTGAAGTTGTTTGTTTCAAATATAAAAATATTGTAGTATTTTTCTGCAAAACTTACTGTATATACTCGAGTATTAGCCGACCTGAATATGAGCTGAGGCATCTAATTTTACCACCGAAAACTGGGAAAACTTATTGACTTGAGTATAAGCCAAGGGTGGGCAATGCAGCTCCTATTGGTAAATTTCAAAATAAAAATAGATACCAATAAAATTGCATTAATTGAGGCATCAGTAGGTTAAATGTTATTGAATATTTACCGTATTAAAAAAAAAAAACCCCAAAAAAACCCCAGTAAACCGGCTCTGTAAGTAGAAAAGTAGGGTCAACAAAAACAATATGTTATCAACAATAACATAATAATAATAATAATAATAATAATAATAATAATAGTATGTCATTTGTATCCGCCCCTATCTCCCCATGGGGACTCAGACCAGCTTCCAACATAGTAACAGGTAAACATTCAATTCCTATATAAACAATGTAGAGCTAGATATAGATCTATAATTATTTATAGTAATTTCACATATGCATTTCCCTCTGAAACATTTGCAAATCCTCTCTCTGTATATGTGCATTTCCCTCCTTCAATATTTGAAGCCCTATATGTCTATGTTTATATCTATTTACACATCTCTTTCTATATGTGTGTGTGTG